ATAGTTCAAGGACTTAAGGGAACTGATTTTCCAAGGCGAGTGCGCTTCTGCGAGTGGTATTTATACTAGGAAGTCTAATGAAAATCCCGATTTTGTAAATCATGTCTTGTGGTCCGATGAGAGTAGGTTTACGAATTGTGGAATTTTTAAATAATCACAACACTCATCATTGGGCTGTGGAAAACCCTTATGAAGTGGCAGGGAGACATCTACATACCAGATTTGGAACTAACCTTTGGTGTGGGGTCATTGGTAATTTAATCTAACTTAGATTTTTTAATTGGGTAGGTACCTATTTGAAATTAAGTATTGAGCATTTCAGGAAATCAACTTATAGGACCATTTTTGTTTGACCACAACCTAAACGGAGAGAAACCTAGATCTTTTACCAAACCAAGTTGTGCCGGCTTTACGAGCTAGTCTAACCGAAGATGAGTTTAGAAGAACTTGGTTTCAACAGGATGGATGTCCAGCTATCAGCACCATTCAAGTCAGAAACTTCTTCAGAGAGCAGTTGGATTAAATAATAATTTCATTAAATGGTTCAATTTTGTTGGCCTCCTAGATCCCCTGACCTTTCACCCTTGGATTTCTACCTCTGAGGTCACGCAAAGAATAGGTCTATGAATTTGATCCTCCCGCAACCATAGAAATCCTGAGACAAAGAATCTTTAGCACAGTTATAAACATTAACAGAAATACACTAGCTGAGGTTGTACAAAAAACAGTCACCAATTGTCAATAATGTCTCGATGCTAATGGACGTTATTTTTACTCACATAATTAGATTTTACATTATATATATTGTAAAATGTTTGTTCAAGTGCAAAATAAATTTACAACGATTTTTTTACTTGCCTTTTTAAAACACGCATAGTTGGGAATGTGTCCCAAAACATTTGACTTGTTGAGAAGGCGATATTAACGTTAATATTCTATTGAAAATTCAAGGCGTTTATGTGTTTTTTATGCCTTACTCATTAATGTTATTTTCTGACAAATTAATCATGGCCTCTTTAGAAAAAACTAATACGTAACATTACACTTTTTCCAAAAATCCAATATGGCAGCCATAATAAAAATGAAAGTTGAGGCGGGTTGCTGGAAAACAAAAGACGATTGAGACATGTCATACATGCTATCTTACTTTTCTTAACAAAATGTCCGAATAATTTCACATTCTGACAGCTGTTAAATTAACCGTTTTGGATTTACTGGCAAAAAATAAATTCCGTCATTTTTCTCTGATATTTTCCAAACCAGTTGACCGATCGTAAATCTGAAGCCGGCTATCGAAAGCACTAAGTTTCCTCTAAAACTTTTCCCATTTAACCTTTGCTGTAGGTATAACAGGAACCGAGATCCCTGTATAAAGAAGCGAGTCTGGGACACCCTGTAAACGTTGTGGTGTCTCTCAAGACTCTATACTAGGTCTCACATTAATTTACGTATAGACACTGAGCACTGTGATCCTCATTCAAAATTTATTATGTATGCAGATGATACGACCAGAATGTTCCAATCAGGTAACATAGCTATAGCCTATAACATCGACCCATATAACTAGTAGCAATTGGAATGTCAAATTTCTTGGTATCCATCTAGATACGCAAATGACATGGGAACTTCATGTATATGAACTATCAAGAAGATTAGGCAAAATTATTTTTCTAGTAAGATTTCTTTGTAGCATGAGATGCTTCTCTAACAACGCAACGGTCGGTATAGCTTCGTCAAGCAATGGGGCTCATCTCAAAATCTCCTACATAATTAGGACAATCCCACTATCAAAATCAGCCTATCTAGAATACGCCTTTATGTTAGGATGATTTCTGTCTGAAAATGAGATACATTTTCATGGAATATTTTAGTGGAATCAGAGATACGATCTTTTGTTAGATTGTGATGCCAAATCTATCAATAATCTCAATTTAACGAAAAAGTGGGTTACGCCCTTGTGCAAGAGGATCGACGAAATATGATAACGCCAAAAACATTGAGATATAGTATCAATGATCAGTTAGGTAGCCTTCCTCTGACATGTAAATAGTACTCTAGACCGGGTCTTATATGGGCCATATTATAACACAGTGATGGAGCTATATGAAGTAAAGCATTTTTTAGCCCAAAACAGATACCTAGTCTCTATTGTATTATTATTTTAGAAACGCTAAACTGTACCAAATTGTTGTGTGCGCAAGCAATAATTACCTCTGAGATCCGGCTGACACTCTAAGTACCCCAAGCAAGGCTATGAATTGACATTATCCGTTATATCACTATAGTTTATGATCCTCAGAAATCCTCGATTTTATCAGGGCGGAAATAAACATGAATCCCTGTTGAGAGGCTTACTCCCGGTAAAGGCGTTTTCATTAACGCTAACATATATTTATACCTCTGACAAGAATTTACCTAGCCAATTTGTTAAATAAATAGCATAAAAACTTCAACCACAAAAAAACACTGCGGTGCCATTTTTGACAACTTACGAACCAAATCGTCAGACGCTGTAAGACCGAGGATGAAGCTTTATAAGCGGGTAACAGAAACGCGAGAAGGTATGAAATGCCAACCTTACAATGGTGTCGGCAATGTCGGTTGCTACAATACGGCAGATATTGTAGATCAGTGGTAAGTAGTTGTTGTAGGGTCACGAATGACTTGTAGGTCACTGTAATGGTTGCAGCCAGTAACTGATAGATGGCTGCAACTTTACCAGAATCAGCTAATTACCGATTTTTACAATATGAATATGAAAAATTAAAAATTTAATAGCAATAAAGTGTAATATTTTCCGCACGGTGCTAGATTTAGATGTGTAGCGTAGTTTAACTACACGGAATACATTGTGAAAGAAAATATATATGTGTATTCATGATTTTTCTATCATATAGGTATGTAGAAGTTACCTAGGTACCTACTTTTATTTCATGAGAAAAGACCAGTGCACCAAATGATGGATTTGTATTCATTCAAAATCAACATTGTCTCTTGCCTAATAGAAAACCTACGAAGAGTATTTTGTCATATGCTAATGCCAAAAAAATTGATATGTACACAACCATTTACTCAAATTGGTAGGTAGACTTGTTTATTAGGGAACCGTCAAGGATCATTTAGTCAGCCTTCCTCTAGACCGGGCCTTATCTGAGCCATGCACACAGTGATGGGGCTATATGGAGTTAAGTGCTGTTTTGCCCAAAACAGATAAAAATAATTTCTATTTATATTATGAATTGGAATTATCCATCATATCGCTAGTTTATGATCCTTATCTCTTCGATTTTATCAGGTCGGAGGTAAACATGAATCCCTGTTGAGAGGCTTACTCTGGGTAAATGCTTTTTCATTAACGCTATAACATTATAGTACTCAGATAGTCTAATCATCGTGTTTTTTGGGATTCCATCGAAAGTGTTAACAGGAACGAAAAATCTCTTCATATAATATTTTTAGATATTTATGAGACCCAATGCAAAAAGATCCGACTAATATCAAAAAAGTTATGGCCGAAAACCGAGGCAAAATGTGTGTTTTGGCACTTGTTGGTAATACGACGATGGTTTCTCGCAGATATAATTTTTCAAATTCCTGGGATTCGTACTTCTGAATAACCACAACAAAATTGGAGTAGATTGATCAAGTAGTTTTTGAGAATTTCTAATTGTTTATCCCAAAACACCTGTTTCCCGGCCATCACTACTAGTTTACTGAGCAAATATATAGGGTTAGTTCAAATGGCATTTTATAGCAAAATACACTAGTTCACCTTGCCGATATGAATCGCAACCCATTCCGGAAGATGAATGTTATTTTTATGCAAAAAAGGATGGGTTACGTTTTTTCTTCTGAACAAATCTAAAAATTTCGTATTGTGAGTAATTCGCAACAAAATATGATAGACACATCCGCTTTGTTTTAAAATATGTATAGTATGTTTTTCGAATATCTTTGCGCATTTGTTCAATTACTCACAAATACGAAATGTTTGAATTTGTTTAGAAGAAAAAAAAACGTAACGTAAATAACATATATCTTTCGGAATGGTTTGTGATTCATATTAAATGCTCTTTGAACGAACCCTGTATATTTCAATAAACTAGTGATGGCCGGAAAACAGGTGTTTTGGGATAAACAATTAGAAATTCTTAAAAAACTACTTGACCAATATAATCCAATATTGTTGTTGTTATTTAGAAGTATGAATCCTACAGATTTGAAGAATTTTAAGTAGTTGCGTGAAATTGCGTCGCATTACCAACTAGTGTCAAAACCTGTTTTTTGCCTCGTTTTTCGGCCATAACATTTTTGTTATTAGTCAGATCTTTTTACGTGTGGTCTCATTTTGTAGGTCTCATAAACACCTAAAAATCTTGTATGAAAAGTTTTTTCGTTCCTGCCAACACTTTCGACTGAATCCCAAAAAACACGTTTTCTCATTTTTTATTGTCAAATAAAAAGTTTTCCGACAAAAATTGGTCTACCCATTTTATGCGTCCATGTTTTAAATACCCCCTTGAACAACTTGCACCAATAAAACTAGACTTCACAATTATTTCGGGAAAATTTGCTAATATGATTAGACTAATATCTTTATACCTCCAACAAAAATTGACCTAGCCAATTTATTATTAATAGCATAAAAAAAACTTCAACCGCAAAAATACACTGCGGTGCCAGTAGGTCCATTCACCATTTTTGACAACTTACGAAGGGACGTTTTATAAGACCGAGAATGAAGCTTTATGACGGGGTAACAGAAACGCGAGATGGTGTGGAATGCAAAACTTACAATGGCGTTGATTGCAGATAATGTAGGTCAGGAATGTATCTCATTCAACTATTATCCAATAGAGGTCGCTGATGATGGACATGTAGCGCCACCTATTGAATTTAATGTTAAGTAGTTGTTGTAGGTCACTGTAGTGATTTCAGCTAGTATCTAATAGATGACTCCAACGTTGCCAGTATTTCACATAATTACGGAGTCTTACTAGCTTACTACAATATGGATATAAAAAATTAAAAAGTAATAAAGCGTAATATTTTCTGTACTGTGAGAGATTTAGGTGTGTAACTATCATTACCATGACTGCCATGTCATGTCACATGACTCGTGCGTCATAATATATAATTTTCATGCTTTGAAACGTCAGAACTAGAACTTCAGAACAGAACGTCAGAACACTGTTGGCAAAATTCAAAAATGAAGAATAAACAAAACAATTACGAAATACTTCATCCCAAAAAATAAATACTCAATTGTTAATGGTTGCAAAAATATTTCCATAAATTGCTTTGGAAACAGATAAGATAAAAAGCTGATAAAAATCTTTTTGAAATTTTCAACAATAGTGTAAGGTGTAGGTTATTAACAAATAGAGGCCAATATATAATTATTAAATAAGAAAAATGAATATTAGAGTAGTGCAAGCAATATCTTTAACTCTGTTCGGATGTATGCTGAACAATATTTTTCTAGAGTACATTATACAGTAAGTAGAGGAATTACATATAAAAATGGCTTTCTCAAAAAGTATATTATTTTAGGTTGGATCCAGGAGCAGGGCATTTGATCACTTTTTGTCAGTTCCTCTTCATTGCCATCCATGGACTTATATTCACCTCCAAATTTGGTACAGTCAAGCCAAAGATAACATTTAGAGATTATATGATACTAGTTGTATTATTTTTCACGACTAGTGTGGTAAACAACTGGGCATTTGCTTTCAATATTCCTGTTCCTCTACATATGATTTTCAGAGCAGTAAGTATCATGTTATGTGTAGATTAGATAGAAATCTGTATATCCCTTATGTGGTTCAAAAGCCTATCTGGCGACATACTAATTTAGTAAATGTACATTTCCACAAGCCAAGTGTTGAGATTTTTAATTAATTTTACTCCTCATCTAAAGAAACATCAGTGCACCCCATTTAAATTTGGTCAGCAAGACATAATTGACTAGGTCAGGCAGCAATAAGTGATTAGAAGTAGTGGTCGAGTGCTCATGTTTGTCTTAACATGGGGTAAATGAGGTTTGCTTATAATATAGTCATTATTATCCTGTTTTATCATCAAGAATATTTCCAAGGTTAAGCTAATAGGATTTTAAGATTAATACAAACATGTAGCTAAATTTCTGCTGTACTTGGAACCACAATTTTCCATATTTGCTAATAGATGGAAGATATATAAACAATTATTTAGGGAACTTTTTATCTTCATCTCACACCAATTGGCAAGAAAGTATTGTAATTGCAAAATATTTAGAAAATTAGATTTCTGTCAAGATTCTGTCTGTCTGCTAGTCCTTGGCGCATTTATAAGTTGGAAAGTACCACTCACACAAATTTTGCTGAAATTTTGAAACACTTTGCCAAGGATGAAAAAGTATTGTAGTTTTTTAAGATTGATAAATTAGTGGTGGAATAATGGGCCAAAAAACAAAAATATAATTATTACTTAAAACTTAAACTTAATTTCCTTTTATGTACCAGAGGCGCCTGCCCATTTTCATTTATCCAGATGTACATCATGAATACTCAGACTCGATTATTTCAATGAAATTAAATCAACAACACTTTTTTTTCACAAATATTCTACTACCTCACCTCTAAATCCAGATGTAAGGATTTTCATAACTGCCCAATAATAAACATACCAGAGCATATGAAATTTGACTCAGTTGCTATACATGATGTTTATTCAAAGTTCGTGATTTCAGTTTTTTGCTAAATTGATATCACAATTGTCCACTGCTATTATGTGTTCTACTCTGTGTGTTGGGGTACTAGGATTCTCATAATCGTCAATTAATAAACATACCAGGGCATATGGAAGTTGGCTCGATACATCATGCATACTCAAAGTCCATTTGCCCAGAATTCCCTGAGAAGTACAGAGACAATTTACTTCTATCTAATCATATAAACAAATTTCCCCGAAATAATTGTAAAGTCTAGTTTTATTGGTGCAAATTGTTCAAGGGGGTATTCAACATGGATGCATAAAATAGGTACACCAATTTTTGTGGGAAAACTTTTTATTTGGCAACATAGAATGAGAAAACGTGTTTTTCTGTTGATCAATCTACACCAATCTTGTTGTGGTCATTCATAAGTACGAATCCCAGGAATTTGAAATATTTCAAATATCTGCGTGAAACCATCGTCGCATCACCAACAAGTGCCAAAACCTGCAGTTTGCCTCGGTTTTCGGCCATAACTTTTTTGCTATTAGTCGAATCTTTCTACCTATGGTCTTATTTTGTAGGTCTCATAAATACCTAAAAATCTTATATGAAGAGTTTTTTCGATCCTGTCAACACTTTCGATTGAATCCCAAAAAACACATTTTCTCATTCGTTGTTGCCAAATGAAAAGTTTTCCCACAAAAATTGGTGTACCCATTTTCTGTGTCCATGCATCCTTGAACAACTTGCGGCATTAAAACTTTACAATTATTTCGCAAGCCAGCAGTATTTTCGTTTAATATGATTAGACTATTCAGTATTTTTTTCCGTATGGGTCATACACTTCTATTAAAGGTTTACACTAGAATTAACAAATCATGTTTTGTAGGGGTCCCTTATTGCCAATATGATGCTGGGAATACTAATCCTCAAAAAGAAATATACCTTGGAGAAATACATATCTGTGTTATTAATAACTATAGGAATTATAATTTGTACGCTTTATTCTACCAAAGAGAGTAAAAGGGTAAGTATTCTTTGTGCTAATTTTAATATTTTTCAAATCCATCAAAAATTAATAAATAAAAATTCATATCCTTTTAAATCCCTTTTTGTTAAATAATGATGTTTTTAGTAATTTCTCCATGTATTTGTAGAAATGTATTGACTGTGATATTGTGGTGGGCAAAGATGAAGGAATAAGTGCTTCCAAAGACTACTTCTTCTGGTGGATAATTGGCATAATATTACTAACAACAGCACTATTTTTATCAGCCAGAATGGGTATTTTCCAAGAGGAACTTTACAAAAAACGAGGAAAACATCCACAGGAAGCCTTGTATTACACAGTAAGTCTAATTCATAAAGTTCTAGGTCAAATAAAATAGAACTTTGCAAAAAATTATGCCATCTTTGATATCTTCCAATGCAGTTTTTTGTTTCAGCATCTGTACCCAATACCTGGATTTCTGTTATACTACCAAAGTCTTGTAGAGCATTCCACAATAGCTAGCAATAGCGAGATGATATCTATTCCTTTCCTGAATATTGGAATGCCAATCATTTGGATGTTCTTATTGCTAAATGTCATAACCCAGTATATGTGTATCAACAATGTCTATATTTTAACAACCGAGTGCCAATCACTAACTGTAACTTTAGTTATAACTTTAAGAAAGTTTCTATCATTACTGTTTTCGATAGTTTACTTTCAAAATCCCTTTACTATTGCTCACTGGATTGGAACTGTTATGGTGTTCACAGGTACTTTGATATTCACAGAAACACATCATCGTATCAGGGAACAAATTTCCAAAAAACCAAAAACTAATTGAGAAAGTTTTTGTGTTTTGTTTTTGTTGTTTTAAATGTTATTGTTATGACGTGTTTGCACTTGTTAGTTGCCTAAGGCAATTTCAAGCAAATAAACAATATATAATCTTCAATCAAACAATGGGTAGAATGTCCTAACTCCACGCGTAAATGTATTATTACTATACATATTTGAGTATATTGGGTATTTGATTGAAATTTCGTAGTGTATTGCATTTGTTCTGTTCTCTAGTTCTAATCACGTTGACAATACAAGATTCACTGCACAGAGTTTTAGAGAATCATATTGTCATGATTTAAGTTACTGAGTCTTTGAAAGTATGAATCATTTCAGGAAAGTATAAGAGCATTTAATGTAATCTATATTTGTAGAGGGACATAACACTTTCTAGTAAAGGCGTTTGAGGTAACATTGTTATAAGGAATTTTAGGAAGTGTTGTTTGTACATGCATTTTGGGTAATAAACGTCTTGTTTGATTTCTATGACTAGGATGATTCCACCTCAAGTTACCTACTGAGAATAGCACTGTAAAATATGTAGATTATCACTAAAAAAAAACAGACAATCAGGGAACTTTGTTTCTCGTTCATTTTTACCCACCTAGAACAGATAAATATGATCCCATAAAATCGTCCTAAAACGTGTTCTATTGCGCCCCAAAGGAGATACAGGCTCCTACAGTGCGCCTCTGGAAATGGGTTTTCTTTAACTCCTTCAATCACTGATGAAGCATGGGTAAACATTTTTTATTCATATTTGTTACTGTTCTTTTTTGCTAAGGCAACGTGGTATTCGATACCCCTTTTATAGTAGCTACCTACGCCACTGAACCATAAATTCAGATAATCATCTGAAATACCGACGAAATAGCATATGTCTAATAAGACTTTTGCTTAATAGGTAGCGCTACATTACTTCAGAGAAAGCGACGTTGCCAAGTCAATTGGTAACATTTTCAGTAGCCTGTAATACCGACATTACTAAACTGACACTAGGCTTACAAAGATGTTTGGTGAAAATGACGATTATGTAGCAAAATAGACCAGGCTTCATGACGATGTATCAATTAAAAGAGATAGATGATTTATGTCCTTTTAAAAAACAGGTGATTATACTTTTATGATCACTCTCCTATTATGGCGACGTTTGGGACTGTGACCTCCTCGTGTTCCTATGCTCCTGATAGCAAAGTTTCGCTCACAGCGTTTGACTTTGTGTGAAACAAACTTTCGACGGCTGTCGGCACCAGTGGCGTTATTAATTTTATTAGCACACAGGGCTGTGTTTACGGTATTTCTTTCTATGAAGCTGGCGTGCCGTAAGCCTATCAGTATAGCTTGCACAGCTCTTGCTTTTCACTCCAACTCTGTCTAACTTTAGGAAGTACAAAGTCAACATACCTGATGCAATTTTTTAGATATAGAAATAACAATTTCTTTGTAAAGAATGAGTAATGTCTAAACGCAAGTTGGTAGTGGCAACCTTTCTTTTCCTAAAACATCCGTCTGATTGGCCAAAATTTTCCGTTATTTTCACTGGGCTTGCAAAAAAAAGATGTGATTCGAACGTTGGAAGAAATAAATGTATTTCCTTTTTTTGACTTTTCGCAGATTTATAGAAATTAAACCTTTTGGTTATTCACCAATCAGAAAAGATATCTTGTAGTGGTACAAAGGTATGTTATTGAAACTGAATGTGTGACGGGTATCAACTAAAAGAAATTATTTTGAAATTCTTAAGGTTGCAATAATACCACTGTGTTCAGTGAACGACGTCAACTAAGTTTGAACCTCACTGTATATGATCAGTAACAAATTTCAGACATAATCAGGAAACTTTATTTCTCGCTCATTTTTACCCACCTAGAACAGATATATATGATCCCATAAAATCGTTCTAAAAAATGCTCGCTCTATTTTGCGCCCCTAAGGAGATACAGGAGGCTACTACAGAGAATCACTGGAAATGGGTTTTCTTTAACTCCTCCTTGAAATCAATGATGAAGCTTGGATAAATATTTTTTGTTCATATTTGTTACTGTTCGGTTTTCTTTTTGGCTAAGGCAACGTGGTATTCGCTACCCCTTTTACAGTAGCTACCTACGCTACTGAACCCTAAATTCAAATGATCACCTGTAATACCGACGGCATAGCACATGTTTAAATTTACAGCTAGCGTCCTCTATTAATCTATAATTCAACAATTAATTTAGAGAAAGCGACGTTGCCAAGTCAATTAGTAACGCTTTCAGTAACCTGTAATACCGACATTACTATGGCAACAAGGGTAATCCCAAAAGTACGGTCTCTTAACTAGAAGGCGATTCAGAACACTGCGCTTACAAAGATCTTTGGCCGGAATAACGATTATGTAGGTAAATATTCAGGCTTTATAACGATGTATAAATTATAAAAAATAAAGGATTTCCGTGGTGTTAAAAAACAGGTGATTATACTTTTTAGATCACCCTCGTATTATAGGGACGTTTGTGTTCGAGACCTCCTCGTATTCCTATGCTCCTGGTAGCAAAGTTTCGCTCACAGCGTTTGACTTTGTGTGAAGAAACAAACTTTCGACAGCTATCGGCACCATCGGTAAAGTGGCTGGCTCGTTATTAATTTTATCCACAAACACTCAAAAATGGTAAAAAGAAACTTTTGACTGGACTTATACAAAAAAATGGTAGTAGTAACGATAACAACCGTATAACACACATAACTTTATCTCCCAAGAAACGTCAAGTTGGTATCGAGGCCTCCTATATTATTTTAAAACTAATTAATTGTATTTCGGCTCTTCATGTATGATCTAATTTGTTTTATTTTTATTTTACGAAAACAGTGCACTCCACGAAAAAACATAAGAGCTATTTGTAGCAAATTGAAGGTAAAATTCGAAAAATCACACGTTTCAAAAAAACAGTGGCGTACTATTTTTATTTGGAAAAATAATGCCACTAATCCCCTGTATCTCCACCACGTTAATTTAGACTTTTGAATGTGGACAATACTTAGGTAAATCCACATACCACATTTTAGTTCATTCCAGTTGATGGTTTCGAAGATATTAAATTTTTGTGTTTTTTTATTTAAACTTCAACCCCGTATCTTTTTAACGAATCACTCAAGGAAAAAATGTTACATAGAAGACCCCAAAATGCGGTCCTGTGTACAATGTTCCATTTTTTGTCACCACTTGTGAATCACCCTGTATATATGAACCTCAAACCGCAAATTATCTTGTTATACAAAGCTTCGATAGGAATCGATAAAAAAAATGGACCGCACTTAAAGCATTTTAATTTTTAGCGGTATTATGTTCAAAAATTGCAAAAATGGGTCAGTCGAGAATGTGAACCGAACTATTCTTATAATACGTTTTTTGGGTCGCTAAAATCGAATCCGGGGTCAATTCAGTCCGAAAAGTCCTCGTATTCGAGATAATGGCAAAAATTTCACTTTGCCAAAAAAACGACAAATAAAAGATCCCCAAAAAGTGTTTTGAGTTAAAAGTTTACCAATTTCACCCCAAATAAAGGTCCGATGACCCTTTAGAATTGTTTTTCTATGATGCTTATATTCAGCGCACCAAATTACTTTATTACAAAGTTCCGCTCACATGTAGCCATCGATAATAAAAATGGATTTTTTTGCACCCTAAAAGTCTCAAAACACGTAGTCTTACAATTTTTCACTAAGTAATTAGATCTACATGTTTAACGGGATTAGATACATGTGGAATGATATCGTATTTGACTCTAGCGACTCAAAATATGTAGATAGATAGAGGTCATTTGGACCGCATTTTTAGCATTTCAATTTTTAGTTCCAAAACTGCAAAAAATTGGGCAGTCGGGAACGTGAGGCCATCAACGTCGTTGCAACTGCATCTGGAGCCCATTCAGTCCGAAAATGCCAAGACCACTCGTAATAAAAAATACTCTGACAACTCTCCCCTCGTCTATGCGGTAGAACGTTAACACTTCTATAAATTACCAGTAATCGGCTTTTCTGCTTGTTCGTACAACGGTCGGCAGGGTTGCTAACCGTACAGTTTTAGCTGTAGATTTACAGAATCATTCGTAAAATCTACTTTGAATCAAATTCTTTTTGCAGCGGTTTTGGTACTGGTGGACCTTAAGTGATATGAAAATGACAGCATTTAATTCAAATTTTGTCATTTTTATGTCACTCAAAGTCAACCAGAATCAGAACCGCTGCGAAAAGAACTTAAGTGAAGGCAGAAGTGTGCTATTCGTAAGCAGTATATACTATTATTCACATGTATCTATCGCGGAACAATGTAAAAAAAGTGGTTGTGGTTCTGGTTGGCTTTAAGTGAATTTGGAAAAATTTGAATGAAAATTCTATTATTTTTATGTCACTCAACACTCAAGGCCAGCCAGAATCACCACCGCGCAAAAAGAATTTGCTTAAGCAATGCAAAGCTTTCACTTTTTGACCTTGATCCGCGATAGATACTCGTGAAAAAAATACTGCAAATAGAAGTTTTTTTAAATAATATTCTAGTTATCTACAGTTTTTTTCAAACTCATATATAGTTATTCTCTCGGATGGGGTTGGCAACGCTAGTGGTCGGTGACCTGTCGGTGACTGTGTCTGGGATGCGGCCATGTGAATTTAGTCTATACAGGGTAGCAGCATGAGCGGAATTTGTGTGGCGGGATCCTGGAACGGTCACTGACAGGTGACAACACCTGTACAAACAGGGCTTTGATAGGATAAAATATTTTTTTTGCCTATTTCTTTTGTGGAAAAAAACAAAGTTTCACTATACATATAAATATATTTAATATCTATGTGATCTAAAATTACATAATCATTAATAGGAGCACTATGACCTTCATCTTCTCTACTATTTATTAGGGGAATATTGTTTTTGGTGACTGCATTCGCACTTGGGCGAGGGAAACCCCTAGAAAACCTCAGCCGTCACTGCTCAGATTAATTGTATCAGGTGAAGAAAAATCAAGTCGTTCCACAATTCTGGGTGCATTTGCACAATCGAAAATATATAATCCACCAGCATGCCACAGTTATTAACCTAAAAAAAAAGTGGCATTGAAGTAACAGTTTCTACGAGGGTCATTTTTTAAGAACCGTTTTGTATTCGAGTCGGAGAAATTTTATTTATGAATGTAAATTGTATCCCAAACTAAAATATAAACAGTTTTTCTTTTTTTAACACAGTCACATTTACAAGTCAAATTACCAGTTTTTGGTTATTGTAGCATCTGAAACTTTTATCCTGTGGTTTTCATGTCGACTATTTCCCTCGCCTTGATTTCTACCAAACACAAATGCGCAATTTTGAATTACAAATGGTTTCTAGATGGAAAAATTGTATGACAGCACCTGTCAGCAGTTTTTTCGAGTTTACCCGCGGCAAAACTTGTCAGCAAATAGTGCAATATGATTGATTGATAACAAGTAATTATGGTCTCCTAAAATACCAGAAGAAGACGCTAAACAATTTCTCCGATTTTATTGCCAATAAATTTTGTAAGCTATATGTGTGATATGACTCATGAAATAATTTTGTCAAATATCATTCGAGCATCTAATTTTTTCCTGTCGTCTTCGACTCGGATTTTTGTTGCCGGCACTCATACTTGTTAAAATATTACTTAGCAACCTATTTTTTCGATTTTCGGAAAAATTAGATGCCCTTATGATATTACTTATGATAATCCCACATATTTCTCTCGCCAATCGAAAAAAACTTT